CCATACTTGGCCACATGTCACGTCATATATATATAGTCATATATTATATATAAATCATATATAAGATTTTGCAGATTCGGCCAATCCTTTGGATCCTCCCCTCAGGTAAACATGAAAGAAGATATTTAATCTGTTAACGTGATGTCGAACAGAACAACTGTGATTGGTCACTTTACATGACAGTCAGACAACCTCTTCCTGACTAATTGGGTGGTCCTTGGACCAACATCATGGGATTGACTCCCAGGAAATGTGTGAAATAATTTAACTAATTTAAGCCACTGTTCTGGCCAAAATACACAATCCATAACACTTCGTCCAGTGAAAAACTCTAGAGCCTGTTGTCCTCTGAATCCCAAGAAAAATGAGCAATGTATCTTTGGATAAAAGCCTTTGCCAAATGCATAAATGAAAATTAAAAAGAATGCTCAACTTCAGGAAATAAGAAAAAGCAGTAAAATTATTGAACGCACCAATTGAAGGGTTTTTTTTTTTTTGGCCTTTCACTTAAGAATAGTTTTATCTAACATATTCCAACAAAGCAATTTTCAATGTGATTCCCAGTTTTTCCTGAAATCCTGAAGTTTCGTTTCTCTTCCCGTCACTGTCGGGAAACATGAGAAGCTCTCGGTTACTGTTTGTTTTTGTGTTTGGGGAGTTTGGATCTCCGCACTACAGGACCCTTCACTCCCGGCGCACACAAACCGCTGGCTGTTTAGACAGCTGTGTCGGATGGCCAGATAATCCTGTCTTTCTCTACCATCATCCACACTGAGTGTACACAAACAAAGACAAGTGATAACAGACACACATGGCCACTGCACACTATTACGGTTTTTAAAAAAACAATGGGAGTTTTATATTAGATGTGAACACTCATCATCTCTGGGGTGGAGGATCAGTGTAACAATAAGACACTTGCTTGTGCCCTCCTTAAAGCAGTAGTTCAACCAAAACTGACAATTTGATGATCCATGATCTAGATGAGTTTGTTCCTTCATCGGAACAGATTTGGAGAAATGTAGCATTACATCACTTGCTCACCAATGGATCATCCGCAGTGAATGGGTGCCGTCAGAATGAGAGTCCAAACAGCCGGTTTTTATTTTTTTTTTTTTTTAAAGAAAAAAATCCACCACTAAGATGTTTTCAACTTCTTAGCCATCACTTTTGGCCAAAATATGAGTCCATAATCCATAATCATGCTTCCTCCAGTGAAAAATGCATCAAAATCCACCTCATATTTGTTTAGAACTGTTTTCACTTATAAACAGAGAATACTTTTTCACTGCAGAAAGCAATATAGAGAGCTCAAGATAGACGATTCGTATTTTAGACTAAAGTTAAAATCATCTTGATGGATTTGTTTCTTGCAAACACGCAGCTTTTCACTTCACAAGACAGTAACTGATGGACTGGAGTGGTGAGGATTACTTGTGGATGATATTATCAGCTGTTTGGACTCTCGTTCTGACGGCACCCATTGCTGAGACACTAATGCAATGCTACATTTCTCCAAATCTGTTCCCATGAAGAAACCAACTCATCTACATCTTGAATGACCCGAGGCTGAGGACTATTCCTTTAAGATGCTCTATAGTCAAACATACAGTCTTTGTCGAGAGAAGAAAAAAAAGGTATGCTAATGGATTTACTGTCAAAATTAAGAAATTAATAAATAATCTTAAGGGGAACTTAATATCAGTCATTCTCATTAAAAAAATGACAACATCACAGTATTATACATTTGAATGTCGCATACATTTTTAATTTAGAATATATTATGAAATAAGATTTCCATTTTTTATATATATTTTAAACAATTAAATATTAGGAGTTGAATGATACATGTAAGATTCTATGTTATTACTAGGCCACTAATCAACTGTTTGTGACACGGATCATGAAACATGAACATGATCGGAATCACATGCACCTATAGCAGTGTAGCGGACCTAGTGTAACTCATTTATGATCCTTAAAATTACTGTAATTGCTGAACCAAGAGGATCGTTCGATACTCTATCAGACACACAACTGTTTAATATATGAGAGAGTTTAAAGCATGAGCCCATACAGACACCGCCCATCTCTCCTAACAACACATTTACCGCGAAACTACTGCGATATACACCCAGCCGCTGTGTTTCTCTCTTACCAGCACAGTTAGACTGTCCACATCTACCGAGGGTAATCCATAGTCGCCTTTCCAGCAGAACAGCTCCAAGGGCGCCGCCATGTTGGAGAGGCTTGTAAGTGGCTTGTCACCTGGAAGTACTGCGCTCTGTGGTTGCTACTAGCAACTGTCCGTTGCGCTAATGTAGGACACCGAAAAAAGTCTTTTCAACCATTTATTGTTAAAGTTATAAACAGTGTTTAAAACCCGTTGGGCCCTTTTAAATTTCGTTGTACAGTTGGATAATGACAATAAAGCTATTCATTCATTCGTTAAACGGCAATATGATACAGAAATAATAATAATAATAATAAGTAGAAGAAGAAGAAAGCTGAAATAAAACGAAGTTAATGTTTTCATTGGTCCAAAACAGATTTTTGTTTCTTAATAAATTAATTAATCGGTTTAATAAATGCTACTTAAATATAAGATATTATAGTAAATCTTAAAGTCATTTAAATCGCACATACGACAGTTTATATAACTGTTTTTTAAGTGATATAATTTAGTAATATAATATATAATTATTTTTCACAGGTGTGAGAAGGGACAACTGACTTTCTAAGAAAATCACTGCCTCTTACTGTTAGACTGAAAGAAGTCCAAAAAAAAACCCTCTCTGAAATGTTTACTGCCATGTGATCTTAATATATGTGCTGTGTACTCACGTTTAACATTTACATTGAGATGAACTGCAATCAAGTGTCAAGGTATCGAGAGACATATCTGTTAAATTAACACAGTTCGCCCAAAAATGACACAGCACATGAATTTAAAAAAAATGTATTTATACCTATTTCATTCAATTTAAAAAAAATTTTTTTTTATATATATGGATATAAATATATTTTCAAATAATTTTGACAGATTTTTCCATTTGATTGTGCTATACGCGGGTGTGACCAGCAGAGGGCGCCAGTGTCACAGTCACGCTTTCTTCCAGTGGGGGGCGCTGTTGCTCTCTGTTCTCGTTATTTCTGCCAAGCCTACTCTTTAATTGTTCACAAATCACCATCAAATTCACAAGTCAATCATATTCATGTTAAGTGGTCCCTTGGGTGAACAGATCTACTCTCCAGTAAACAGAGCACTTGTGTGGAGTAGAAACGCCAAAAAGAGCCGTCTGGAAATGGTCGATAACTAAATTATTATTTATTATAATTATTATTTATTTATTGTGTAGACTGTTTGAGGTCAGCTCAGTAGCACAATATGAGTTTAGATACATTTTTCTACAATACAGTGTTTTAGTATGATTTGTGTGTGGCATTATGTTGCTTGTATATACAGTATCTTAGCCCAGCTATTTTAAACAGCTTGATCACATTCTAGGGTTACCATTACGCATAAAAAAAACCCTATACAACATTGATAGGAATACTGAGATAAAAGACAAACAAATACAACCATCAACATATTGTTACTTTTTTGTAGCATATATCATCACATTTTTATATTAGTGCTCCCAGTTTTACAACATCAGTATTGTAACTTATTTGTAACATTTGAACTCTTAATTTAATGCAGTATTCTGTCATTGCAACATTTTAGTGCAATTTTCACTAACAACTGCAATTGGATTTATATTCTGTACTGTCACCGGTCACATCAAGAATTGACTCACTCGATGACCACACACAACGAAAGTGTGCGTTCATATATTTATCCTAGACACCTTAAAGATAATGTGTACCAAACAGCTTTGCCATATCTTTATTAACATACGTTGGTCTTGTGGCTGTGATGCAGCCTTCATCTTCTCATGCTGCTTTGGTCACGGACAGTTTGCACTAACCATGTGAAACTGCACATATTTCATTGAGACCCTTTATTTTGTCCATATTTGCAGGAAGTGCGCTAAAACATCAGTCAGTAAGGTTTTTGGAGCGTTATAAATGAAACCCTTTTTTAGGGAAATGAATGTTTGGACATGTAAACTGATATTTCCTATACTGACACACAACAGCGAAAGATAGAAACGACTGACTTAAAACCATTTTTTTAGCTGGTGACTGAAAATACTAGTGCTCTAATCATTTTGGCCACCAGCGCTGTATGTATAAACGTGTATAAATGCATATTAATATGTGGTTTCGAGGTCAGCACTGCAGTCAAGTGCTTTCTTATAAGTCGGCGGATGTTGTTAAACTAGGCTCGAGTTTCTTTCGGGGGAGTCCCGCCTCAGCTGTGTTCTAGTACAGTGAATCTCAACCTTTTGGCGTACCGGACCCCAGTCCAATTCAGAAGCATCCTCAAGGACCCCCAGAACAAAGCTGGCTCATCTATGTGTGTCTTTGTGAGGACCAAATGCAGCCAAGTATAATTCAAGTTAGCTGACTTGTCCAGTATTTGGCCATATCATCAGCTATATTGGATTTTTCTTTCATGGGAAAATATACAAAATGTATACAAAAATGCATACTTTATACGGACCCCCTGGCCTTATGTCAAGGACCACTAGGGGTCCTCGGACCCCTGGTTGAGAAACACTGTTCTAGTACATCCAAACGGTGCACGTAGCACACACAGTGAAGGTTTCGGTTGACTTTCTCATTGGTTGTCTAAATTGTTGGGCATGCTCTTGCTACATCCCACTCCTTTGTTCAGACTTCACCAGCGCCTCCTCCCTTCTTCTGTTCTGCCTGCAGCTGCTGCGCACTCGCTCGGCGCTCTCAGCCACGAGGTGTCCACGCGTCGCTTCTGGCCGCTGATTGGCTGGGGAAGACACGAACAGCGGATTTCGACCAATGGGAGCGCTGTGCATGCGCTGAGCCATGCTGTGCATCCCGCTTCCACATGAACAGCTGAAGTGGTAAACAAGCCGAGCGAGTCACTGGCAGACGCGTCTGGCTATAAAGCCCTAGCCTAGCCCAGCGTGCGCATAGCTGCTAAACAGACCATGCGAGAGAGGAGTGGGTGAATTGTGAATTTACACAAAGCACTGGTTTTGCTGCATTTCGTACCAGGTCAAGCTTTTCGGACGCACTTTTGAAGGACTACTAACTATCTGGTTGAATTACCAACTTTTAGACGCGTGTCTTCATTTCGTTGCGGCTTGGAAGTTTATAAAACAACACAATGGTGGCGATGACAAAAGGAGTCAAGGTCTTCGAGATCGCCTTCAGCGACCCGTCCAAGACCTTTTACTGCAGTGGAGATAAAGTGTCCGGGAAGGTGCTGGTGGAGGTGTCGGAGGTGACCAGGGTGACGGCCGTGAGGGTGCTGGGAGTCGGGTGCGCTAAGGTGGAGTACGCCAAAGGCAAACAGAGATGCCGTGAAGAAGTGGACTATCTGAAGTATGAAGACCTTGTCCACCTGGATGACCAACCAGCAGGTGAGCTTAAACTGTTGTAGGTGTGTGTTTAAAGCTGACTTGGCTTTGGTAGGTGGGTTTGTTGAGATGGTGCTGATGTTGGAATGTGACACTGTGAAAAAGGCATGCATTCTGGATATTTTAAGTAAATGTGTTACAGTAAGGTGTTATTTATGTGAAAATAGTTCTCCGCTGAAGGTCTTAACTGATAGTGAAGTCACACTCATAGTAAGGGGGGTGCCTTTGTTTCTAATGGGTTTGTTTCATTTGTTTGTATCATGATCTGTTAGAACTCTTCAAAACTTGTATGTTTTATCTTCTCACAGACACCGATGGTTCGGTCATCCTCCGTCCTGGCAACAAGTATGACTACTCATTTGGCTTTGAGCTTCCTCAACAAGGGTAAGCGTTCCAGTTGACCAGCGCCTGCCATGCATTTCCTTCTAAGTCGTTTGTTGGTTAATTAATACAAGTGTTATTTCTCAACAGGCAACTGGTGTCTTCCTACAAGGGCAAGTTTGGGCACGTTCAATACTTCGTGAAGGCTCTGATGGAAAGACCCGCTCAGCCCGCCCTGGAGTGTAAGAAGCACTTTGAGGTTGAGGAGCCCTTGGATGTCAACACCCCAGACTTGCTGGTGAGCTCCGCATATCAGTAATTCACTTGAGCCACAAATCATGTCTTCACTTCTTGATTGGGCGTTTTTTAAAATTCTGATTATTGGTGGTTCCTTGAGCATCACCTGTGGCGAAAACATAAATAGATATTTTTCTACTTTTGGAGCTGTGGCAACTTTGCTTTTACTGTTTGAAATCGTTTTTTGTGGTTGAGCACTCACATTGAGCTTTTGGCCTGTTGGACGTGCGCACTTTGATTGCAATCTTTGTGGTTCCTTGAGCATAACAATGAACTATGTCCTCATCATTTCTGTTTTCCATCCAACAGTCCCCTACTGGAGGCATGAAGGAGAAGAAGGTCACCTGCATGTTCATCCCAGACGGCCAGGTCTCTCTGAACGCCAAAATCGACAGGCGTGGCTTCTGCGAGGGTGAAGAGATCTGCATCGATGCCAAGTTTGAGAACACCTGCTCTCGCATCGTGGTACCCAAAGCGGCCATCGTCGCCAAGCACACCTACCAGGCCAACGGCCGCACCAAGGTCTTCAGGCAAAAACTCTCCTCAGTACGTGGCAACCACATCATCTCTGGTCAGAAGACCACACCAGGTGCTACTCCTGTCAGCTAAGAACTGGAAACTGAGGCTACAATTTGCACAGGCTCACCAAAAGTGAATAGAAGATTGTAAAAAGGCTGCCTGGTCTGATGAGTCTCAATTTCTGCTGGGACATTCTGATGGTAGGGTCAGAATTTGGCATAAACAACATGAAAGCATAGAATAGATCCATCTTTCCTTATCAGCTATTCAGACTGCTGCTGCTGGTGGTGCAGGGAATATTTTCTTAGGACACTTTGGGCCACTTGCCAATTGAGCATTGTTTAAACTCCACTGCCAAATATTGTTGATGACCATACATACCATACCGTTCCTTTATGACCACAGTGTTGTAATCATAAAATGTATACGCTTCACTTTTTGTCACTAGGTCTATGTTTTTGCATTTTCTTTTCTGTGTTGCCGGGGGAATGTATAGTACATTTTCATAGTACTATACTAGTAGTACTATAGTGGTTCTACCATACTATACTATAGTAGAACCTCTACTATAGTTCACCCCAAAATACTTGTATACTTGATTGGAGGCAACTTACATGACCATAGGCACGTGTGGCCACGGGGACTTGGGGCAAAAATTGCACTAAATTGGACAAAAATGCCCCTGCACAAATAAATTAAATCTATTACATCTGTTGCTAACAAAGTGAATATGAATAGACAGTGTCGATTGCGGCATTAAATTAAGATCTGCTCATGTTGCACTGTATTTCATTTTTAGGCGTTTTTACAGTGTTGCGCTTTTGAACCAATCACACACAACTCTGTTGAGCTTAGGAATGTATCAGAGGCCAATCAGAGGCGCAATTAAAACTGTTCCATTTCTTTAAAAAGACGGTTGCTAACAAGTTGCTAAATGGGACTACAGGCGCTGTCGAAGACATTAAACGCCATTACGCCGAACAGTTTATCAATGTACAGTATTTTCCAATCGTAGTATAATACAATTAATTGTAGAATCACCCATTAATAGTTTACCGCATTTTTATATTGTTGTTCGACAATGTTTTGTTTGTTTTTTTGGCCCGAAATGCAACACAATTCTTTGGATGGAAGATGCTCATTTTATTACTTTCCTACTGATATATCCCAGCGGAGACTCTGGGTTCGGACCATAAAGTAAACTCATATTACGATTATTCCATATAAACCACACCTACAATAATGTACAGTATTTGAAAAATAATGTGTTTTTTGAACATTAAAGCATGTCAACATATTCTGTTACACCAAATTCACAAAATATTGATCTTTAAAAAAGCATCATATGACCCCTTTAAAGACGGTTTAAAAAACTAAGAATGTCGTGGTTACCATCATATTCTATACACTATACTATTTAGTCCACATAGAATATAGAGTTTTCATCTTATATCTTGTATCTCTTGCACATTAGTTTTATTTTAAGACAGACCTAGTATGCACTAAAATGTTTTTGAAAAGTGTTATATGGTTTAATCTAGAACAGGTAATTGTAATAAAGTTCAATCCAGACCAAACATTCACAGGTATTTGGGAAATAAGGGCTAATATTGTCATAATCTAAGCATTAGGTGCATTATGTAGTCCAAATGGTAAATGGCGAACTGAAAAATCCTTTCCTAAAACAATCAGTGTTCGTTTCGGCAGCCTAGCCAGGCCATATATGGCTTTCTATGTAGCCTCCTGACTCTGGTATGCCTGAACCCTGGCCTTACTCGGCAGAATTACAGGCAGAGAAATAAAACAAACTCCACTGTTCAAATGCAAGAAAGATTTGCGAGGAACAGTTTTAGTGTCAACTCTCAGAGTCTGAATCTGAGGTCAATATGTGCTATAGGGTTAATAGACAGAATGAGCCATTTCAGTTTCATCTGCTGGCTCCAGTCAGTCTCAGTGGATGACAGAATTTAAGTGGGAATTCTAAGTAGTCTTCAAAGACAACTCATTTTCACTTTACGCTTGGTGTGACCAAAAACTCCCACTCTCTTTAGCGGTGTATGTATTCAACTTCAAAATTCCCACGACATAGTAAGCTCATGATGGCAACTTTCTTGGCCGGCTGCCTAGCATATCTGTGCCTTCCTTTGATTGGCAAAAACACATAATCATGCATGTTCTCATTGGTTGAGCCCAGTGTTCAGCGAGCTTTCATTCGCCTGATGCAAGCTTATGATTCCCTTCATTTCTCGTCCTTCTTTTTCTTTTGGTTTCTCTCACACCACCCTTTTTTCCATTTGCTTATCTGTTTGTTCTATCAAATAGAGTGGAACAGTTAGGTCCGATTTTAATATGAATCTCGTTGTAAAGAAGGAATCCTTTGGAAGGAATGTTTGGCCTTTTTCAACACGATTCGGTTTCAGATTTAGTAGGTTTTCCGAGGTTTAGTCATATGAAATATCACACTTTATTGGCATTTAAAGTTCCATGTAGAACATAAATGGAATCTTTCCATTCCACAAAAGGTTTTTTATAGTGGAAAAAAGGTTTGTTAGATTTTTAAAACATTATTCACACTAAAAAAATTTGTACTTTTAAGAACTGTTTAATGGAAGCTTCTTTGGGGAACCAATAACACTTCTTCTGTTTGTATTATTATTATTATTATTATATTAACATTTTATAACATTTTCGTATATGAAGGTTGAAACTAAAAATATTTTTGATTTAATTGAGCTTCACTGATTACAATATATTTAGCATATATTTAAAATATATTTTGGCAAGAAAAAGTATATATCTTTGCGGTGTGGGTATTGTGACAATTGTAGTGGTCTGTTATCATGTTGATAGTTAATTTTTGAGAACTTGAGGAAAACTGACTTCATACATCCACTAAAAATCCCTGCCTTGCCAGCATAAAATGTAAAATATATAAATTAAAATATATTACATTCATTAATTAATTAAAATACAATATATTAATTGAAAGTGTTATATTAAATAGTATAATAATATTACACTTTACTTTTATTTTAATAAAAAAAAATCTGTTTAAATTATTAAACATCAGTGATTTTATTTAGGAAAACATTATTCCTGGCATACCATAATTACAGAAATGGCATAATTTATGAGGCCACACTTCTGACCTTTGCACATTTGGATAAACCCCCAGAATCCACTAAATGTTCCGTTTCCGCGCTCGCTTACTTCCTGTGTTCTGCCAAATGGCAGTTTTTTCCCCCCGCCCACGTCATCCTTGGCTTGAGGCTGAGAACAGTACTTCCCCTGCATATGTGTACGCTCAACAGCAGCCCAAATGTCTCTGGCGTCTGATTGGTGGCTGGCTCTGATCACGCTCCTGCTGATTGGCCAGATGCTTTGAGCATGCTGTGATCACGCTGCATCTCCTGTCTGACTCTAGCCTGTTCTGTGTAAAATGCGGGTGTCAGCCTTTTAAGGAGCATGGCACTATCTTATAGACATAAACATGGAAAGATTCTTTCTCTTTTTTTTTTTTAGAAGATGTTTTAAATTAATCAAAAGTGACATTAAATGCTTTTATAATGTTACAAAAGATTCCAATTTCAATTAAATGCTGTTCTTTTGAACTTTCCGAAAGAATCCTGAAAAAATGTATCAGGCTTCTCACAAAAATATAAAAAATATTATTTTTATAAGATCATGTGACACTGAAGACTTGAGTAGTGGCTGCAGAAATTTATTGCATTTTAAATCATATTAAAATAGAACATACTATTTAAAATTGTAATAACATTTCCCAGTATTACTGTTTTTGCTGTATTTGTGATCAAATAAATGCAGCCTTGGTGAGCAGAACAGACTTCTTTAAAAAATCTTACCGACTCCAAACTTAGGAAACGGAAGTGTATGTGTGTTTTAAGTTTTATATCTGTAACTTTGTGTTTTATACTGTATACGATCTTTAAAATTGTTTCAATTATCTGTGTTGAAACCAACATGTCAAAATCTATCCTGTACAGCAACCTTACGAACTTGTTGAATGTTTTAAATGGGGAAGTGAAGGTCATGTTACATGTTGTTAAATATAAATAGCTGTCTCAACAAATTCAGGCACAGGGAACTGAAACAAAGGCAGAGAAACTGATGAAAGACAGGGAAATGGGATTTGTCCAGATCAGCACAGTTAGTGTTGTTTTTTTTTTTTCAAAACACTGTATGCTGACAGAAGACATTGTATCCTGACGTACTTGTTACATAAAACCTACTAAAGTTCCAAAAAGTCACAAAAACGTGCAAAATGTTGTAAACAACTAGACAAACTTTGACTGTTGCACAGACGCTCATTATTGCATCATTACAGGCCAGTGTTGTTTCCCATCCATTTCACGTGTGAAATGATCAAAACAGCTGGAGGGCTCAGAACGAACTGCAGAAATGCACACAGACATGTTTTGCGATTGCCTGTGTTGCTGTGCAGGAGCGTCTACTCCTCCCATGAGATCGGAATGTTCTGTTTACAGTCAGTCGAGCAACAACACTTTGAGAAAGAGGAAATATCAGCTTTTCAGCTATCCTTGACCTGTGCTGTACTGCCTATGCACTGAGATACAACCATGCACAGTAACAGAAACAGCATTGGTGCATGAAGGTAAACATCAAAGTGAGCCCATCATCCTAGTTTACGTATGTTTATCATTTTTTAGGAAGCATGCACAAACTATTCAAATCAGTTTAAAACGGAACGGTAGCAGTTTATTTTTTTATTGAAAGTAACTCACAATTGCAAGGACAGTCCTCTTTGGAAAATACAAATCAGGGATTCCCTGCTGAAGGTTTGTGATTGTGAACCCCTAGAGGTTTGTTATGGAACTGCAGGGAGTTTGTGGAATTTTGATAGAAAGCCATTGTTAATTAAATTAAATTAAATACACACACACGCACACACACAGGTAAGCATTCATAAGAACACTAGTCTTCACTTAGAGAAGTCTGCAAAAAAAAAAAAAAAGGAAATGTGTGCTAACTTAATGGAAAATGACCAGTATAATGTCACAAAGCATCATTCCATTTATGAAAAATGCTGTTGTTTTTCACTTTCTACTAGT